AGACCTCAGTACTTATTTTAATGCAAGTGTCATTAATTTGCAAAAGGGTTATTCTTTATGGTTTGGTGTTTTGAGGGGGAGGCACACCAGTAGTGTGTGCAAGCTACTCCTAATATAGTGCTCAGGGGTTACTCCCAGCAGTGCTTAGGGCATGAGTTGGTGCCAAGAATTGAACATGGATCTCCTGCATGCAACTCATGCCCTCTGAGCTTCCTCTCCAACCTTCACAGGAACTTTTTTTAAAAGGGAAAACACTGAGTCATCAAAGGGTTTTCAAGTAAATCTAAGTCCACAGGATTCAGGAAAACAGCAAATATTTACATATTAGAGCCCGGCAAGCTACCGAGAGTATTCGATATGCCAGACACAGTAACAACAAAGTCTCCAATGGAGACGTTACTGGGCCCGCTCGAGCAAATCGACGATCAACGGGAGGGCCTTTACCTTTACCTATATTGTGGCACAGGATAATTGATCTTTTTACAGTTTCCATCTCTTAAAGATTGAAGCATGATCCTCAATTTTTCACAAATAAGATTTGAATGTTAAATGATAATTTTAAGATTACTCACATTCTTTTCCTACTAGTATCCCATGCAAAATTATGTTAACTGAATGAATTTTTATTAATAAGCAAAGCTGCCCTAAGAAATTATCATTTCAAGTTACCCTAAGTTGTCAACATCTCTGGTGTTTTTGATAAAGCAGGTATAAGAAATTTATATAGATCTTAAAAATCTATAGATCTAAATTGTAGAGTTTAATTGTGTCATCAATCTTCAATTTATCAATGTTAAATGCAACTTAGTTCTTTTAGCTAATAACCTAAATTTATTCTTTTATAAAGCATAATTGTAAATTTTCTAGAAATAGCCTTCTAAATCCAATATCAATAGTATTGCTTCCTTTTTCTTTAAAAATGTAGTCAAGTTCAGATTTTCACCCTGTTATTAATTTCTAGAGAACAATAGCATTCCTCAGAAGCTGCAGATCATCAAATACAAAATATCTCTTTAGAACTGGGTATTTCTCAAATTGAGAAATGTTTACATATTTCATTATTTAAATACTGACTCCTAAAATCAATATTTCCTCTTTTTAATGATATTTAAAACAAGAGGGAAGTTTCAAAGGAATGAAAGTTCAGTACAATGTCCCAACTGCATTCCCAGAAATCTAGGGAAAGGATAGATAATCTTAGCACCAGCACCAGCAGAGGCAATACCATTGTTTTAAATATTTTATTTAAACAGCCCATGATGGGCTTTGGGTGTTCCAACACCAATCCTACCACCTAAGAGATCTTCTCTCTACCATTGTTTGCATTTTCCCAACCACTCTGCAAACCTGTCCTTAGAAAGCACATAATAATTTGTTTTATACTGCTTTTTACTAAAGGACTTACCATAGATTCTTCAGTAAAATACAATTTACCATTTTTTACAGTGATAAACAATCTGAGCTCTCAGCTCTTTGAAGTGATGAACCAACTTCAATCTCAGCATTACACCTTCCCCTTCAAAAAGAAACAAAAGGGAATGAGTTACTGCATCCATGCAAAAACACGAGACTCAGCTAATTGGTGTGGTTTTGATGATGCCACAATTCTACCTCAAACCTAGCAAGTTTGCCCTGAAGATTATTGAATTACTCTACTGGGTATGCATTATTTAAAGGAAAGTGCTGTCAGTACAGATGCCAACTGTTTAACCATTGGAATTCCATCTGTTGGCCAACTTTCAAGATAAAGCAATGTATTATGACCCTGCATTCTCTGTTCATAGAGGAATCAAGGTCTAAGTTAAGGGGTAGCCAACATGTATACGAAACAATCTTTGGTCTACATACTCTACAGAATAACTACTGACAAAATGAATTTAAAATTTTCAATTTCAAGACTTTGTCAGCAAGAAAAATTCTGTGGAATGTTACACCAGCCTGTTCATTCTGATAGTTGTGTGAATATAGTGACACTTCATAATACTAATACCAGAGAACTCTGAAACTATGCCTAACTGCAAAATTTTTCCTGTCACCTGTATTTTGTTATGGTATTGAATAAGTATATTGAATGTTTTGAGAATCTCAGGAAACTTAAGTGACAATTTTTTAATTTTCTAAGTTATAAAATATTTGAAGCTTTCTCTTGAAGGAAATGTGACTCCAGGCCTATTCTATATACTGCTAATATTGTATTAACAATTACATTTAATTCCACAAGAAAAGTTATAACATTTTTGTGGGGGGGACTTTTTGGGTAATACCTGGCGATGCACAGGGGTTACTCCTGGCTCTGCACTCAGGAATTACCTCTGGCAGTGCTCATATGGGATGCTGGGAATCAAACCCAGGTTGGCTGCATGCAAGGCAAATGCCCTACCTGCTGTCCTATTGCTCCAACCCCAAAGTTAGAACTTTTTTATGAGCTTCGTGGCTATTGATAATTCCTAAGAAGAGTACAGGCAATATATCCATTTTCTTTCATCCTAAGAGGGAATTTGATATTTTCTCATAGCAGACAAGAAGCTTCAGCATCTAAAGGATCTCGAAAGGACCATTACTTTAGAGACATATGCAACAAACATGCTAAATTGGTCCTGAAATTGCCAAGATAATAATCTCTATCTTAAATCCATAATATGAATTTTTAAACAGTTGTTTTAGAGTTAGTCAAGTTTGAACATTTCTGGAACTATTCCTACCACCCCACCTTCAAATACCAAATTATTATTCCCGAGTCAAAAAACTAACCTTAATTATATCTCTTAAAAAATCTGTAGTATCAACCAAGAGCAATCATTAAATGTGGTGTATAGTAGGAGCATCCAGTTTTATTCGTCTCTCACCTCCACAAGAGGAAACCAAGGTAAATGAACTCTCTTGACTTGGCTGATCCTTTCAGTCTCTTGAAACATCTCTTAGCCAAAGGTATGAAGAAATCCCTGTGAGTTACAAGAATCGTGTCAGCCCATTTTGTCTCTTATTATAGTCCCAGGAAGAATTTTAAGAAAATACATTTAAAAAAACACTGTTTGCATCATTTAATGGCCCAGTCAAAGCTTGCTGGTGAGAAGGCAAGTCATCTGTTCTCTTAAATCCTCTAATACCAAGTGGGAGTACTGCAGAGGAATGGATCAGGACCAGCTGTCTGGTCCCTCCCAACCCCCTCCACCATGAGAAGATGAGAAGCTAACACGATTTTCCCAGAGAAATAGCAAACCTACCCAGAGAGACCAGAAATGAAACATCTCTGAGTTATGACTCCCAGCAGTTCCAAGAATGACAATCAATTAACCTTATGAAAAGGATGCATCCTCCCTATTCCTGTGCCAAGCATCCGGAAAACATTTGGATTCTTAGAGGATGCCATGAGCAGTTGGCTGTTTGAGCTGTGAGGTTGCCAAGCTAGTTTGGTAGCAGACCATTACCATGGGTCTGATCTCTTACAATTAGGAAATTGAAAATGTACATGGGAAATTTGACTAGTAAACATCATTCTGAAACACGGTGCCATTATTATGCCAGTGTATGATTTTCATTTAAAATATGTTATCTCTGTGATAGGGATTAAGATGACATATAGTGATTTGACTATTCAAATTCTTCTGGATTAGTGGTTCACAGATTTCCTCCCATAAATTCTGGAAATCAGTGGAGAAGATCCAGTCCCTTTCCCCACCTCCCTAGGAAATAAAGGGGATGAGTGAAAACTGAGATTCTGCCCTCTCCTGTTTTTGTCTGAGTCATAGAATTTCACTGTTGTTAGTTTCATATATGGTGCCATAAGTAAGGTTGGGTTTTAAAAAAAAAATTCACTATAACAAAAAGTATACAAAGAGTTCCAGTACATTTTAAGTTTCAATTTATGTCAACTTTTTTTTGGCCTTCTCTTTTAATGCTAGAGCCAGAGAAAATGTGTCCAAATCAAAACTAAACCAAACCAAACCAAAAATCTACTTGCCAAGTAAATTGATTTGTAAATATCAAAAGAAGTTTGATTCATGGCATTCCCCCTGAGAAATTAGAATCATATGAAAGATGGACATTCAGTTCATTCTGTTTTAGTCTAATAGCTATTCTATCTGAAAATAGAGTTGATTATTCTGGCTTCTCAGAGGTAAAAGGAGGGAGACCCCCTATCATATTGGCATTGTCATCAGTTCCAAGTTCCAAGGCTTTTGGGTGCCTCTGTAATGGTACACATAAGAGCCCAGAAAAGATTGGTCAGAGAAAGTGAACCAATGTTTAAATAAGATCTCTATCCTAAGCACTTTTCATAATGATCTCATGTAAATCTCAAACAAACATAAATGCAGAAAGCAGAAATGGTATGTCCGAACTGTCCAACAGTTCTGGGGCTCTTTGAGACACTTAGGCTTTTCAGGAAGTATACCTGAGCTTGCATTCTGACTCCATCACCTACTATGCAAGTGACCTTGAGCAAGTCATTCCCAACTAAGTCTCAGTTTTCACACGAGTTCAGTGACAAATCATTTTCAAACTTCAATCTTCTGTAATGCTCAGTTTGATGCCATAACAGAAGCAGTCACATAAAAGAGCGAGACCTGAGCCGTCTTGCATATTCAAACGTTGTAGATTTGCTAGAAATATTTAAAAATATATAAAATATGGCCTTCTTTCTTAATATTCTTAGCAACTTTCCAGTTAAGCTAACATGTCAGAAAGGCTTCCACTGTGCATAGACAGATTCTCGAACTTAGGAATCAACACAAATAAGATGTGTGGTGAAGAATTAGTGATAAGGAGTGTGGTAGAGGCTCCAGGAGATATCTTGGAGTCCAGAAGGATCTGTGGGAGTCAGGAAGTCCGGGAAAAACTTCAAGAAGTCGGAATATAAGACGATATGTGAGTTGACTAGGTGTGAGAACCAATGTTTAAATAAGATCTTCAATGTTTAAAGAGAGTCTTCAGGGGCTGCGGGGAATCGGAAGTTTGCAGATTTTACTCTAAAGACGGGTGCTGTGCATTTGATTTGTCAGACAAGCCCACGGGGTACGGCTCCAGCAGTCGGAGGGCACCTCAGACGGGCATCGTGGACGAGTGCTGCTTCCGGAGCTGTGACCTGAGACGGCTGGAGATGTACTGTGCACCCCTGAAGCCTGCCAAGGCAGCCCGCTCCGTCCGAGCTCAACGCCACACTGACATGCCCAAAGCTCAAAAGGTAAGTCAGCCTGGGAGGGATCTGTGTTTCCCTCTCCCTAGATGGGTGCGGGGGCGCGTGTGGTCAGTTGGGAGAAACAAGTTATGCCTCCAGTATCTTTATAGATAAAGATACCATTCTCAGCATATATGCCCATCCCTTTAGTCAGTTCCACGGTCCCCTTGAATGATCTGGTAACAAGTAGGTGGTGGAGAAGAGAGCGGAAACATGAGTTTTGGTATCAAACAAAACTAAAATTCTATCCCTGCTAATCACCAGTTGAGTATCCTTGACCAAATAGAGTTGTCCAAGCCTTAGCTTCATCAAGGAAAACTTGAGATAATTATTATAGTTATTACATCTGGTCATTTTCATTATTAAAATGGCACATATACAATGCTTTTTGCATGCCCATAGGATGCAACTGTTGGACAAGTGTTAATGTCTGTCCTAAGTGTAATTAACAACAATGTCTATAACCTTTCCTGTCTTGAATTCTGCAAAATGCAAGGGGAAAAAAAGTACTCTAAAATGGAACTGTTTGAAATTCATGTGAAGTAACACACATTATTAAAGGCAAAAAGCATTAAATGTAGAAATTTCTTTTTGGCTCTTAGAGCACCTTGAAATTTCTGTCAGAATTTGCATAGCTGCCTTTCTATGAACTAAAGTTGAAATACACAAAAAGGTACTATCTCTGCCATCTAAAGTACCTAAATCATCTATTGCACAGTGATCACTTTTCCAATTTTCAACGAATGAATGAATGAGTGAGTGAAAAAAATACTATTACCCAAATTGCCATTAATGAGTAGAAAGCATGAGAACAAAAGGGAAGATAAAGGAGAAAAGATGAGGCCAGGAAGACTAAGTGAGGAAAGATAAAAGCCCTCACTCATTCCTGTTTCCTCATGGACTCTGTTGACAGGAAGATGAAACCACAACCTGTGGTTTTCATGTTTAGAGACTAAGTAACATTGTGTGGAAATCACGAGATAAGAGACTAAGATGCTCACAATGTCAGTGCTATCTCTGCTCCTTCCTAGTCCTGAAAGACAGCTGAGGCGGGAAGAGGTCTTAGGGATGGGGGATACCCTAGGGAAACACATTGACTGATGGAAAGGGATAGACTTCAGGCTGGTGGACAGAGTATACACAGGCAAAAGGGCAACCAAAGGAGCAAGTAGCACAGAGATGGTGCTTCCAATGTGGCTGAGAAACATACTCAAGGGATCACAGAAGGCAGGTTTCTTCTTCCTCTTCCCAGGTGACCCAATGCTTTTCCATTTCTTGTTGGGGAGTGGGGAGGGGTTCCAAGAGGAGTTCTAGAGTGCTGGGAGGTTGGGTCTTATCGTTGAGGGTCTAAACACCTCTTCAGCACCAATCCTGTCTTCTGCGTCTGATGGAATCCGGGCATTCTGGGCTGACGCAAAGGCTCTGTCCCCGGACATGGAGGGAACCACCTGTTCTCAATGCCATTGTTTTTGTGATGTTTACAGTCTTCGTCCCCATCTATCAACAAGAAAATGAAGTCCCAAAGGAGAAGGAAAGGTGGGCCAAAGAAACGCCCAGGAGGGGAACAAAAGGAGGGGCAGAAGTAAGTCAGCAGATCAAAGGACAGAAGAAAGAGCAGAGGAGCTAGACATTGTGAACACAGAGGCAAAAGCAGGAAAATGGAGGAGAGAAGGACTAAGCAGAAAGAGGCAAGGACGATGAGAGAAGAGCAGACAGCGATAAAAAGAAGTGGGAAGTATTTAGAGGACTTGAAGACAAATTAGGCCTGGTGAATCTAGAAGTCACTAGATAATGCATGTAACCAAGAGAAGTCATCCATTGTGAGAGATGACTAATAAGCATGATGAAAATGGAGAAGTAAAGTCCAAGAAAGATGGCGGCCCGAAAGAAATAAATTAATTAAAATGTTAAAAGGGGCAAGCAAGAGACAACATTTCCCTCCCTTCAAAAGCAATTAAATAAGAGTGCGCCTTATGAAATTTTGTATGACTATTTATTGACAAATCATCCATATCAATACACGTCAAGTTAAATGTTAGGCCCAAATTCTCAGCAAGACTGAATTGCATCAAAGAAGTTCCCAGATTTCCTTTCCTGCAGTGTCACAGAAAGCTGCATGTCTTAATCAAGTTCAGGTTCAGGTCAAAGGTCATCCAATATTTGCCCAGAGGTCTTGGGGTCTGTGACATCTATGAGAAGAGCTAGTTTAAAATTTTATATGTTTATACTTTGGAGTCAGATGTAAAATTTTCATTAATTTTCCAAGGCTGCCATAAAATAACCATTGACTAGGGTGCTTCAACATCAGAAACTTATTTTTGTACACTTTTGGAAATTTAAGACTATGCTGTTGCAGGAAAAAGAGGTTCCTTTCGAGTCTCTTAATTTATAATTATTAGTTTTCTCTTACCTGTGTTTTTCACATCGTCTATACAGACCCTTTGTCAAATTTCCTTTTTTGTGTAAAGACATCAGCCATACAGTCATAGTGAATGTCCTTCTAAGACATCCCAAGGAATCACCTCATTTCAACTTAATTATCCAGATAAGGACCCTATTTCCTACCTCAAAGTCACTAGAGGGAAATATTTCAGCCCCAAAATTCTGGTGTTTATTTCAATCTCTGTAAGACACATTTTCTTTGTTTCTCAGTTTCCATCTCTCCCTCTCTCACTTATCCAAATATTGATCTTTAGATCTGATATTTTATGAGTACTTGCTCAGTGTGAATTTTGTAAGTATGTTATGTTAGAGCTATGAAAAATAATCAAACTATTCTCTCAGAAGCCATTTGGTTGAATCCCTGAATTTTAATAAAAATACTAAAATTCAGAAATGGATAAATATATGCTTGAATTCTAAGCTTCCCTCCTCCCGCTCAGCAGAGAACAGCATAGAATTAACCTGGACTAAAAAAAGAATTCTAAAAGAAAAGGACAGATAGATAATGGCCACATGAAAACCCCCACAAATTTAATATTTTTCTTCCTTTAGAAGGAAGGATATGTATAAGGGGGAGAGAGGGAGAGTCAAAGACAGAGAAACAAAAGGGTGTGTCTTACAGGATATAAGTAAGAACTGGATTTACATTCTTTGAAAGTAAAGAAAAATAAAATCACAGAATTTGGGTCTTAGAGATCTCCTTTAGCTACTTTGATTTAATGAACAGAAGTAGCATCTTATACAGATAATGAAGCTAAAAGTCTAAAGATCATCAAAATTATGGAATTAAAAGAGCAAAATGAGTGAAAGAGAGAAATGCTCTGCCATTTGAATGATTACAGGTGGGGGTAAGATTATAAAACCAAGACATAAAGCATCTCCTAATACCCTACTTTGAGGATGGTAAAAGTCCCAAAAATCTTCCTTTCTACTGCATCCAAGTCTACCATGCTTTTTACTTCAAGATCATCCTAGCTTCATGGTTCACTGAAGTCCCAGATCATATCGCCTAATTTAATCTAAGATGTTCCTGGCTCAAGTTTGAAGAAAAGTTCCACAAAGAAGCATGTCAGAGCCCAAGACAGAAGTCACACTACTACTGGCTTAGTTGCAAGTGGATGCTGTTTTATAGGAGCAGACCAAAAAATCAGGCTAGTTAGTGACCAAACCCAACTGAGATTACTCAGGAGACACTGACATCTTCTGCTAAGATAACTATTCTTTAGGAGCAGCTTTGGGCTTGAACCACCACCCAAAAAGTGTTTGCATTATATGGATGGCTCTTCAAAGTACCTAAATCTAATAGAAGACTGAACAGTTCATGTTCTATGGAAAAGTACCTTTGAGCATCCTCTCTTTCCATCTTTTGTAATTTTAAATTTGAGTAATTACTAACTAAATACCTTATATGTCAAGGATTTGAAGCACATATTTAATCATATCAAATAATATACGTCATTCAAGGAAAAGAGCTAAGACTTTTTAAAAAAAAAAGGCAATAGTATTTTATGGCTGAAGAATGCTTAGGTCACAGACTGGATAAAAATATACATATTTTTTGAGTGGCCATTATCAGTTGTAAACCAAGCATGATATATGGCAGCATGTGATTTGTGAATAATATATATAAATAGGAGGAATTTACTCCTGAATAATACGAGTAAAATAGAACAAGTTTTCCTTCTATTCCTTAATATCAGTACAAATCACTTAATGATACATGGCATAATGCTAGATGGCAAAAGGAATAGAGAGACAGGAATCAATGAAGAAAGGGTATGAAAGGAAAGAAAGATAGAGGGAGAAGGAACAAATAAATGATATAGATAAGTGAACAGTGGTACGATTATAAAGTATTACTATTGAGATGAAAGGACTTTTATTCTTGTATAGGACAGTGAAGCTAGTACAGAGTGAAACAGGGAAGTCACAGGAATTATGCTCTCAGGTGTCTGACATATTTAGAATTTACTTTTCTTACCTAAATTAAAATGATTCCAGGACCTACTACTAAGAATGGCAACAGACTAACTACTTTATAGTGAAAATTACATCCCTGTTAGTATCATCAGTGCTACCTTAATGTGGGCAGAGTAATAATCATTTAAATTCTACTACTTTAATATGATGTCAGACTATTGAAAATATGTAGGGAATCAGGGTGAGATACTGAAGTGATGGAAGTATTTTTAAAGAGCAACTACAATGTGCAAACTTCTATAATTGGCTTGAAGGATATAGAAAGGGTTCTTCTAAGACTTAGGAATTAAAGGTACAGAATCTAGAGTTGGAAAGCTGGGTTCAAATTCTGTGCTTTTAAATTTACTCATTGTATGATCTTGAACAGATAATAAAATGTACCCATGCCTCAGTTTCCTCATGTGCCAAATAAGGATGATAACTGAACTGACCTCATATAATTATGAAGATTTATTGAGATCATGGGGGTGAGCATCCATGTGTACATATGTAGTACACATGTACACATGTACATTTTAAGCACATCAGAATGCTTAAGATGGTGGCTGGCACATAGTAAGCACTATGAAAGTTTCAGCTACTGTTATTTCACAGTTATGAAAATTAGAGCCATCTGATAAAAAATAGGTCTCTCAAGTGGAAGTGGATCTCAATATTAGCAAAACCTTCAAGTCCAAACTTTTCAACACTTTTTTGACAATGTGGTGCTAAAATTTCAAGCGTTTGACAAGCAAAGATAACTCAGTCATTGACTAAAACCTCTTCCAGCCCAGAGAAGGCCATTTTTATGAAGAATTCCAACTTAACTAGTAGCTCTGCTCTCCCAAGTGAAGAACGATTAACTGTCAATTTTCGGTCATAGAATGAACTTTTTGGGAAAACCACCATTTTTTTCAACCACTTAAAATCAAATGTAATATGTGTTTTCATTTCACGGTGCCTGGGGAAAATTTAATTGTAGCATGAACTCCAGCTCTTGCTAGTTATAAGTAAAACTGCCAAAATAAATAGAAATGTGGGATATTTCCGGGCTCACACAGCTTCCGGGACATTTGAGTTTCTAGGACTGCCGATTTGGTGCCTTTCACAAGCATTAGATCTGTCAAACATCTCCCAAAAACAAACAAAACCTCAAACAGCTTCCAATAAGCATACTGCTAGGATGCAAGGGTAGAAAAGAAGGCAAAGAAATGAACTCCCAAAGAATTTCTCCCCTTCTCTTTCCTCCATCCCCTGATCACCTTCCTCCCACCAGTCACTAACAAGGAACAATATTTATTTAAGCAATAAATTTACTTTTTTCTTAAGTTCTTTATCATTCACTGGGGGAAGATGGGCTCTATTCTGGTCACTTGCCAATAGAAAAGAAATAGGATTAAATATATATATATGTATATATATATATATATATTTACCCAATAATGACTAGCTGATTCTTAATCCCAGAGTACACTTGATAAGTCTAAAATTATTGTAATAATGAAAGATAAATATTTTTAAAGTAAAATGGGTTTTATAAAGATTTGAATACTCATTACAGAGTTGCTCAAGATATATGTTCATCTTAATAATACAAAGTCCAACTACTGATGCCTTTGAAAATCAGATTCAGTATTTAGTGACCAAAGCAAGACAAATCGACTTTTATTGAAGTTACTGAGGTTCTTCAGAGCTTATTAAACTTCTAAAACTACAAGGTCAAAAGTCAGCACCTACACCCTCAAAAACATTATTAAAGGCTCCTCTCCTCAATGCCCACTTATCTGGGTTCTTCTTTCTTGCCTTTAGAAAATGTTCCATTATTTTCATTCAGCATCCAAAAGAGGTTAATTCTAAACAAAAATTATGTGTAGACTTGAGAATAAAAACATGGATATGAGAGCAGTAGAGAGACAAGGGGCTCAGGATTCCAAATCTGGTAGTAGTAGAACAGAGCTAAAATTTCTGACTATTGTAGAAACGGTTGGAGCAATAGCATAGCAGGTAAGGTATTTGCCTTGCACACAGCCAACATGACCAGCCCAAGTTCGATTCCTCCACCCCTCTCAGAGAGCCCGTCAAGCTACTGAGAGTATCTCGCCCGCACGGCAAAGCCGGCAAGCTACCCGTGATGT